GATATTGTTTCAAAAACTTTCCAAAAAACTAAAATTCATACACTAATAAAAATATAATAAATGCAAAATTCGTGCAATCACTGTGCGAAGAGTTTTTTTTTTTTTTTTTTTTTTTTTTTGCCTTTTTTACTCCGCACTTTATGGAAAGTCCGCACTTTGTGAAAATAGTGTCCGCACAGAATGTCATATTTTCGCACTATGCGGAGAGTTTTGCCCTAATGTTTGCCATCTCTCCGCACTATGCCGAAATATTTTTTTTTACTTTACACTGTACAGAGAGTTGAAACTCTCCGCACTATGCGGAGAGTTTTTTTCTTCATTTTTTACTCCCAACATGGTTTGCCATCTCTTCACACTGTGCGAAGAGTTTATTTATTATTTTTTTAAAACTCATGTGCGAGGAGTTTTTTTTTTCTCATGGCTGTTTATATTTATTAAAATTATTATTATTTTTTTAATGCTAGTGACATGATATGTGAAAGAACATTTGTTTGACATAATTATTTTTTTAATGCTAGTGGGATGATGTGTGGAAGAACATTTGTTTGACATAAATAAAGTGGAAAATAATAAATGACATCATGCATAGTAAAATTGGATTCATTTACTATTACATGAATAGTAGACCCTCATTCATCTTTTTATTAGAAGTTAGATATATATATCACCAATCACCAAAGAATTCTACACGTGGCCTATCACAATTTTAGATTCATTAAATAATAAATTAATATATAAGTTTAAAGCTAGATCTTTCAACCTCAATAACTCGTGTTCTGCTAATCCAGATTAACTTTTTCTCGAGCCTAACATGTATGATAAATTACGATCTTTTCAACGGACCCAATATTCATATACTTATCGTCGCTCCGTCAACATCTACATTTTAACATTCAATAATATTAAAATTTACTTTTTATATATTTTAGCGTTCATGAGTATAATAATTCATCAATATGAAAAATAAAACAAACGGGATAGAATACACTACACCTCAATATTCTACTAAAACCTTTATTTCATAATTAAATAAATTATGTCAAACATTCTACATAAAAATCTTTCTAATTCCATCTATTAAATAAATAAAGCATATGGAAAACACAATTAACTGAACCATGTCCCAAATATTAAATTTCAAATTTAACATGAAGATAAAATTGAAATAACGCCAAAAAAATAAATAAATAAAATTTCATAGTAACGTTACTCAAAATTTATTTATTTTGAATTCCATAATTTCTGGTATCACAACTCCACCGCATCGCCCGCCAACTAACAACTCGTTTTAATCTGTGAAGAGTAGGAAAAAGGGCGAGTACATGGAAATACTTAGTAGGATATAAAATTAATAATGCGATCCCCTATAAAAATTTTAAAACATCTATAAGAAAATTATACCGTCTCATATCTTTAAATCTGGTAAGAGCTCATATCATAGTACCAAAATTACCATATCATTTATATCATAGCATATCACATCATAACTTTAACTTTTATGAGTATGCAATTTGTCAACATGAAAAAAAAAAAATTTAAACCGAATAGAAAAATACTGCACCTCAATATCCTATCTCGTAATAAATCAGTTTTTGGAAGACAAACTCTAATTCACGTTCCAAACTTATTATATATATATATATATATATATATTATTATTATTATTATTTTTTTTTTTTTTTTTGCTGCTATCACCGTATATGGGTGTCTAAAGGTGAAAGAGAATATTGAATTTTAATAGGTCTAAAAGTCTTTCAAAGAAAACGTGTTTTTTCCCCATAAAGAGTCTCAATTCTATACAATCACTATTTCTTCCCTATCTAATCAACACATGATAATCTATCACTATCATCTCCCAACAACCTAGGCAAATAAATTATTTTAAAATAAAACTACCTATCTATATTTTAAGCCCCCGTTTGACCCCCATTAAATTTCATTATATTACATTCCATTTTTCTCTCTCATATTTTTAACCACATAATCTTTTATAAAATAATATTATATGTAAATCAAAAACTTTTCATTCTTTTTCAACCATTCATTTAAAAAAAAAAAACTATTCCACCCATTTTCATTTTTAGAAACCATAAAATAATATTATACGTAAATCGAAAACTTTTCATTCTTTTTCAACCACTCATTTTTTCAAAAAAAAAAATAAATTATTCCACCCATTTTCATTTTTAGAAAATGGGGTCTAAACGAGGGCTAAGATACACTGGTGCACTAACAACCTCCAAATCAAAATAAAAATGAAACACTCCATACACGTGACATGTGTCAGGTACATTTTCATCAAAGGTTAAAATTAAATTGTAAAATTAGTTTTCATCTACCTTTTTCAAACTGAAATATATTGAAGCTTATTTATTCGAATTGATTTTTTCTTGGGCCTAATATACATAATTAATTACGAGTTATCCAACGAGTACAATATTGATATATTTATCATTACTCTATCTATATTTAAATATTTGACCTAATTAAAATTGAATTTATTGTATTTATCATTTTAGTCCCCTAACTTTCCAAATTTAAAATATAGTATGAAATTAAATAAATTCTAGTACATGCAAATTTTTGGGACTTTACAACTGGTACCAATTGGACAGGCGAAAGGCCCAATCAAAGCGAATAATACGTAAACTAACGACTTGGATACAGAGACCAGGGTCGTTACAATCCAATCCCACCTTTCCCCCTCAATTTCACACTCAAATTATCGACTAATATATGAATTCATTATACACCCATTAATTCTTTGCATACAACCACATGAAGAAATTTTCATTATGGAGAGCTGATATAACTAGGACATTTAGCCCTAAACCCTAAAAATATTGCAAAGGAAATAAAATCAAATATTTGCCATTACAGCCACCACGCTTGTTTTTATAGGGAAGCTTTCCGAACTCAAGCAACTCAGAAAGCTCACTTCCCGACTTTGAAGCTCGTTCAAATTGAACCTGAATTTCTTTCACAACCTCGGAATCCACTTTAAAACCACCTCGAGCCTTAAATCCAGCCAAATTGGATCGATTTTTTTGACTTGTCCTCATCATCAACCACATTCCTATCCACCATAAGCACTTCATTGGATCTCTCTCCATTTCAATGCTTGCATTCACCCTACACCGCTCATCATCATTCAGCACCCTTTCTTTCTCCACCTCATTGGCCATTCAAGCTATTCCTGCCTTCGAATAACTACTCCTTCAGAAGTTCTTAGGCTTCTTGTCGACGCTGGCTCTTCCCTATGCCAGATCCCAAATCCAATTGATTAGCCTACTGATTTTTGTTAGGTTTTGTTTAGTTTCATGTTTGGATCTGAGACTTGGAAATTCGATTGTTGGAATAGTGCTTAAATATTTTCACCCCGCCGCCGGAGGGGGGGTGGGGTGGGGAAGAGAAGCACATTTTCTTGGAAATCTATTGCTTTTTCTCTTTGAAGGAGTGCAGATTCCAACCACTTTTGTATTTCACCATCCTTACCCCTGGTTCTTGATATTGGTTGAATCGTGTAGAAATTGAATTAATTTGAGTAGAATTAGTCGATAATTTGAGTGTGAAATTGAGGGGAAAAATGTGGGATTGGATGGGGAAAAAGTTGGTGTTGGCGGTAGGGCCCGTTTGAGCCACATTATTCTAAAAAAATATATTTTTAAATAGTGATTTTATATTATTTCAACCACACATTCTTCAATAAAATAATATTATACGCAGATCAATTTTTTTTTTTATTTTTTAACCACACATTTTTCATCAATACACTATTCAATAATGCATTATTACCAAAATAATGTGGTTCAAACACTCCCTAAGATTGGTTTTTTCCCCTCCTAATTTTTTAATAATTTATTAGTGACTCGATTGCACATTTTTTAAAATTTTGGGAGTATTATTGAAATTAGTTTTTATTCTATTTTTATTTTATTTAAATAGGAATGCACATTCATTATTTTACAACATTTTATTGAGAAAATTGAATGAAAATAATAATCTCCACAATAAAAGGTGAGAATAGGGGTTAATGTAAAAAAATGCAAAGTATGGATATTTTGCACAGTGAACCTTCAATGTAATGACATTTTGCATTCACAATTTCTAATAAAAAGTAACGTGGATTTAGAAGCTACACAAGAACCATAGAGTTTGTAGGTGGGAATGTAAGAATGTGTTCGATTGCATTTATTTTTTATGAAAAATGTCAAATTTTCACTCGAGGACTTGTTTGATAATAATTATGAAAATTGAATTTTTAATTGTTAAAGAGAAAAGTGATCTCTCTCGTTAGAGAAGAAGTCAAAAACGATGATCGAGTTAGAAAAGTAACCACGAAAAAAAATTGATTTCATCCAAAAAAATCGGAACCCAACATGTACATAGATTTTTCCATTTAGTACTTGTTTGTTTTCCATTATTTGATAATTATAATGAAAAATATGACCGTTGTCCATAACATCAAACTATCATTTGAATTTCTATCTTTTGTATGGGACTGTTAATGAGTATATTTTTCATTCTAATTCTTAGATTAATGGAAAACGATAGGGGTCTTAAATGTTGATAATAATGTAGGGAAATCTGAATATGTTAATGAACTCCAAGGTACGAAATGAAACGTTATCTTTTAAGAGATGTTTCTCCCCTATTTAACAAAGTCACAACGGGGTATAATAGAAAATCTCTCTCAGAATACAATGGAGGTGTTTGATTCAAATTGTGACTATTTGATCAAACCAAGAAAACACTCGAATATAACTGATTGAGCCAAGAGAAAGAAGGAAAAATAAATTGTTTGATGTGTTTGCAAATGAGAATTCGCCCAGAATTTATAGACACTGAGGCAACTGTTTGAATAGGTGTATCCCTTGAAAGTGACTGTTAAAAATGAACAGATGCTCCTATTCAAAAACCTTTTGAAAATAAAAATGAACAGGTCGAACACCGTTGCGCAACGGCAAACATTAATCCTGGCGGCAAATCATTCGCAAAACAAAAATTTAAACACATGTAAAATGATGAAAAATATCTAACATTAAACACGATTACACCAACATAATTGAAAATACCAAAACTCCATTCTCCTCGTTTTTACATCACTTGTCTGTGTTGTCTTCAACTTCGGCCCAAACGCTCTAATCCATGAGATGTGCTTGGTGCACAGGGAAATGTTGTACAGGTTTTTTTACAGTGTGAATGTGTCATTTTCTCATTCAGAATCGACGATAAAACAGAAAAAATGCAACGAATAACTCCAAACCCTTACGTACTTCCCCCCAAATTCTGCAACCACTTCATCAAATACCCCCAAAACTCCGAGTCTTATTTTCGCACACACTACACAAAGCGCTTTTATAAGAATTCAATCTCCCCTGTAATTTTTCCTTTTTCATTTTCCTCTGTTTCGATTCGAGGTTATTGATGGCGAATGAATCCTCTAGCATCGACAGAAACAATGAAACGACGCCTTCACCGGCGGATTCGTACATTGGAAGTTTCATAAGCCTCACATCTAAGTATGAGATCCGATATGAGGGCGTTCTCTACCACCTCAACCCCCAAGACTCCACCCTCGGCCTAAAAAGCGGTAAGTTACGACGTCGTTTTTGTTTCTCAATAATTTGAGTATCATTTATATTTATTTATGTATACATTTGTGTTATTTCTGTATCCTTGTTCATTTCTTGAATTTTTATGCTATATGTGTATATATTTGTTCGTGTACATAAATACTCTTTTAGTAAACTATCCTTTTGAAACCGGAACTTTCGAAGCATACTGTTTGGGGACTCTATTTTGTTTTTTGTACATGTATTGGATGTGACGTGATTTTATTATTATTATTATTATTATTATTATTATTTATTATTTTTTTTTTTTTCAAGTTAATCTAATTGACCTAATTACGGACACTGATTTTCGAGTTTACTGGTTACATAATTTAGCACAAAATTTGTGGTTTTCGTTTTCGTTTTCCAATTTTTTTTTTTCCCGCCCATTATTTTTAAGCCCTGCTTGCCTTACAACGTACTATTCTTGTCCTTTCTAATGATTAAGCGTTATTTGATTAAGATTTTTTAAGAAGTGATTTTTTGGAAAGTGGTGGTGGTGTGTTATTTATTTATTATTATTATTATTTTATTGGACGTGTGGTTAAAATAATGTAGTTCCTGATCCTGTAACATTGCTTCCAATTCAAGGTTTTCCACCTTACACGTCTTTTGTTCTACATTCAACGTCAGTCCCCTTGTTAAACCAACCACCAGCTATGGTAACTCCAAATCAACTGTCACAGCCCAGAGTACCTGAAATTTCTCAGATGCAGAAGTTATACCCAGATCAGAAAGATGTGGGTGCTCCGGGTTCAATTTCTTTGAATTCCTTAAGCTCAGTTACTACTCCAGCAGCTCAACCACCTCTTTTGCAATTCCCGCCATCTTCCCAACAGGTTCATTGGAGTTGCCCTTCTCTTTATATATATGTATATAGTGTATGTATGTGTGTTCAAATTACTGGTCAAGTGTCATTTACTTCAGGTTTCTGCTAATTAAGGTTCAATTGGCATTTCCAGTTATTTCTATTGTTCCTTCTACTTCCCTTCCCTTCGCTGTTCCATTTCCTATTTATTTAGAGTTATTATCCATTGATGAAGTAGAAAATATTGGAGGATTGGGTTCTTTATAACTTTATATCAATTTTTTAAAACACTTGGACAATATGTTCATATCTGTCCATGTGCCAGTTGCATTTGTCTTATTCTTTCGCTCAGCTTGATAGAGGATGCATCAATGGGTCCTTCTCTCTCTCCAGTAGAGCGCTTGAATTTTTCTTGTTATTTTCTATGGCAGCGTAATGTGACATAATGCTACTATATCTATATTTGTTGGATATTTTGATGATCCTATCTCTATATTAATTGTGCAATACTCATACAGGTTAAAATTTGACACCGATTGCATTTATTATGTTTTTCTTATTTGATGAAATCTTTCTCCTAGTTGATTTGAACAGTAAAACTCACCTCTTAATTCAAAGTTTGAAATTTTGTCATTTCACTTGCTTTTGGTCTTTATTTCCCAGGTTACCTTTTTCTTAAGATTAAAGTCTGTTGCTAGTAGTAATTTATAACTATTTGTGTCGTAAAAGTTTGGTTTGGATTATTTGCAGTCGCAACACCTTTCTCAGTTCACCGAAGAATTTGATTTTGAAGCCATGAATGAGAAGTTCAAAAAGGACGAGATGTGGGGTTATCTTGGAAAAGCAAATCAGAGAGAGAATGTAGAGAGGATTCAGCATAATGTGGTAAATGGACAGAATCCAGGGGGCGAAGATCACTCTTGGCTTGGTTCCCACCGGTGATCCCAAGGTACGGTTTCAAGGTTCTGCTATTGTTTGTGCACTGTGTAAGTGATAAAACAAAACCTAAGTTTTAAACTGTGCATTAGATCCCCGACTTTTCTTCAACATAGAGTGTAATCATTAGATGCCTCTGTTTGCAGCCTGCATATAACAAAGATGATTTCTTTGATACGATATCTCGTAATCATATTAACCATGGAGCTAGGAACCGACAGAACCATTTTTCTGAGCGAATGAAACATGACACTGAGGTTCGTGAGCATTGTTATACACTAGCTTTTCATATGAAAGACGGGCATAATGTTTTTCTTACAGATTCTTAACATTTTTCTTCTTTTGTGTCTATGCAGATCTTCGGCAATATTCAACAGAGATCTCATTCAGGTTACAGCAGTGGCTATGCTGGTCGACATGGTGACTATCGTGGTCCATATAACTGGGGAAGAGGGTATAACCACGGTGGTCAAGGCCGAGGAGGCTACACGTGGAGATGACACGTAATATTCCTCGATATAGAGGTACATCAGCTGCAGTATTAACATTTGGCATGATAGCAGTCCGACATCTTTTTATCCTGAGCTCCGGTTGCATGATAGCAAAGTAATCGCAGGTTCATAGTATTTTTTAGCCCATGTACCTGTATATCAAGATGCTAGTTTTAACCACTATATCCGTGTTTTACGAATTGCCGCTGGGAACAAAGAGTTGGACTCCTTTCCTTTATTTTTTTATAAGAGGTTCTACGGACTACTCTGTACTTTTAACATTTGGCATTGTGTGCCATCATTAGAAGATAAGAGTTATCAGGTTGTTTGGATGACAGTTTGTCGTTGTGGCAAGTATTTTAGTTCAGTGTCACTTCGTTTCCTCCATGTAAAGCTATCAAGAAATTGTCGTCATTTGAATGACGTTTCATCAATTGACTTTTAGGTCCTAAAACTTTTCTTATTTCCTGTATCGTCTGTTAGGTTCACTATATATTATTGAATGTCTTGTAGCGATTGTTAAAGACTTTAGGGTCCGTTTGATTGTAAAAATGTAATTTGGGTAGAAAGAAAACGAATTCTAAGGAATCGAATTGGCTAAAAATTGTTTTATTGGAAATTATAAATTATTGTGTTTGGTTGGTATAATTTTACACGTGGAAAATGTTGAAATAAAAATATTTTTTGATGGTCGTTTGACTTTTTTTACATGTAAACTGTCAATTTAAAGGATATCTTCTTTTACAATTATTCATAAAATTTAGTTCCATTGTAAAAAAAATATATATATAT